AAGGTAAGATGGACATCATCAGGGATATGGTAGTCCCTTCGGAACTCGGCCATGGCCCCTGGTGAGTTTACTAAAAACCTATATTTACCCATTTGCTATTAAATTATGAATAAATTAGCTTAAGTATTAGCTCGGTCGAGAAATGACGCTGAGTAGCTCGGTTGAGTGCTCAAAGGAGTGCCTGGCCAACCTAAGTTTGCAAAGTAAAAGAGAAAGGTGTTAAGCACTGATCGTTGGACCGTGCTAAAAGCACAAAGACAAGATAAATGAAGTCCTAGCTCGGCTACGCGGGATGCTATCCAGTCTTAGCTCGGTTTGAGCAAAGGGCTTTAGCCCGTTTGAGCCTTTGGGGCAGCATTCTTAGTCCGGTTTGAACTAAGGAAGCTGGTTTAGCCCCAAGTCGTAGCTCGGTCAGTAGGGGAGGCTTTCTAGCGCGGTATTGCGCGAACTTGGGACAGTTCGTTAGTCCGGCTAAAGTATAGGGAAAGGTACTCAAGATTATTGTACTTTGAATTCTAGTTCGGTTGTTTAGTTTTGCTAAGCTTACACCTAACACAAACAGTATCCTAGTTCGGTTGAAGTGTGATTCTGGATCGAAGGGAATTGTTCGGATTGTTCATGTATAAGGTGATCATGTTACAAGGTTTTTTTTCCAGGAAACACAAGGCTAAAGCATAACTAGGAATATGTGTTTTTGCCAAAGCATACAAATACGCATACTATGTTGTACAAAATAAATAAGAAATCAACAAAAAGGAAAGAAGGTTAAGTTACTTACAAGTATGAAGATGAAGGAGCTGGAGATGGAAGCAGTGGCAACAACGAACACGAGCTTTCCAAAAAATAGTGGTTGCAGAAATGGAGGCTAGAGAGAGAGAGAGAGAGAAGGTGAATTGGTGGTAGGTGGAGTGTAGTAGGTGAGTGTGAATGGTAAATTCTAACAGAAACATTCTCCAGAAATAAGGAAATCATTTTTAAAATTTGAAACAGAAGCAAAGTGTATATTGACATAGCAAAGTTCAGGTGAATTTTCGTTCTTCCAACACCATTTTGAGGTATGTTCAACAGTAAGCACAACCAAAAAAGAAAATGAAATTTAATATACAGAGCTTAAGTACCCAAAGTAAATGACAGTCATAGACTCAAAGTTATGGTGTTAACCCTATAAATATGCAACAACTCAATCGATAAGAAGTATAAGGATAACACTAATGATATAGTACAAGGTAACAACCATATGGCAGAATAGGATCAGAATCCAAACCTATCCCATTAGCTTCAACAACGCAGAACATTAAACTAGTACTGCTTCAGGGAATAGATTTTATGAAATTCTGCGGTGAAAGCATTAGAAGAAAAATACACAATAAAAACAAATGACTAGGTGAAATAACAATGAGTTTGATACTAGAAAATTTTATATTCTGGGATGAATTGGTAGTGTGCTTGAAACACTATTTATTCACAGATTTGTTAATAATGGTAAAGACAGTCATTTATCAATGAAATTATCCAGTTGTGTAGGTGGCCTGGTCTTCTACAGTCTAGGCCTCTGGAATTGAACATTTTGTCACTCTTACACTCATCCAGGCTCTCTACTCCACTTGTATTCATCACAAGCATCAAGACACAATATTCAACTAGATTATACCAGCCAAAGAATCATAAACTTCCAATCATTAGCCTGGGAACTGAAAACATTAGAAATTATAATGCATTTCAGTGTTATTAAAGGCGCGCCTAGGCCCAAGTCCCATCCAGGCCCGAGATTTGCGCCTTGCGGTGTTCCAAGCCAGGCGACTTCAATAAGTCGCGCCTAAGGCGTGCGATAGGGCCAAGGCGCAGAAAAGCTTTTATTTTTTATTTTTTTATTGTTGCTTTTATTGGTTTTGTTTAAAATTTAACCATTGATTTAACATGGTACAACTATAAAAGATCCCTACTTTCAAATACACATGCCAATATATTGGGAATTCAGCCACAAATCAACAATAGAAGAAAAATTAGTCCTAATTCCTAATCTCCGAAGAACACTTCACTGCTGCCTACTTTCATTATCCAGTCTAGCAATTCCAAAAAATCTTCTTCACGTTGCTATCTTATTCTTCTCTTCTTACATTTCTCTCTCTCTCTCTCTCATTCATTTCTCTTCTCTTCTTCTCTACATTGTTGTCTTCTCCACTCCTCTTCTCTACGTTTCTTCTTCTTAAATTATTTCCTTATATTAAATTACATAATTTTTTACGTACAAGATGCGCTTCACTTCGGTAAAGGCTGCGCCTCGCCTTGCGCTTTGCGCCTAGGCCCCAAGAGACCTTGGCGTCTCAGTGCGCCTATCGCCTTTAATAACACTGATGCATTTATTAAAGATGCAGAGTATAAAAAAGTGTGCTATTTGTTGTACTAGTAATATACTTCAAACCTTCCCATACTAAAAACAATCCAAATGTCATGGGTCATATGCATAATCCTTCCAGTAATGCCATTCACCACACTGTACACAATTACAGCTAGCAAAAGCCAGTGCAAGAAGCCATGCATGTGATTTGATTTTATAGTTACAAATGTCCAAGAAGTTAGCTTTCACAATTCCTAAAGTTTTGCTTTTTGGTAAGAATAATCACAGATTGTCATTAAGCTTACAACATTCTGGACCAAATTTAAAGCAAAGTCCCGTATTTTAAGAATAACTAATGCACAATATAATAACATTAAGCATGCATTTTTTGGGGGGAAACCAAGCGAAAATGTAAACGACTGTAACAAATGTCACATTAGAAAACAGATCAAACATTCAAACAGAAAAACCACTCACTCTACTCAATAATTATAAGATAACACCATCCTAAATAAAGGCAAACACTGGTGTTTGAAAATTTTTCCTTTTTTTTTTTTGGGCCAAGAAATGGCCTGGTTTTGGAAAAGGGGGATAAATAACGCTGGTGCTTGAAATTAACATCCAACAGTATGTCAAATTAGGGTTAGTTTAACTTTTATCCACTAAATTATAGCCCTTTTTTCTCTTTCAACCTTAAACTATTAATTTCATCTATTTAGTCCCTAAAATTTCTAATGTCAGGTAATGTGGTCCAATTGAAGACACTTGGACAAATCAGTAACCTTTACAATCTAATTTGATCGGCAAAAAGATTATTTTAAAATTTGTACAACTTAAACCATGCAACCACACTCATTCTTTGTTATTCACTAATTTGAAATGAGGGTTGGAGAATAATATGGGTGTTTGATTGTTTAAGTCGTCGAATATAGTGTGAATAAGAAGATGAGTGTTTGGTTGTCTAAATTGTAAAATTTCCTTCTGCCGATTATGTTAGGCTTTCACCATTATTGATTTGGTCAGACTATCTCCAATTGAACTATATGAACTGAAATCAGAAACTAACGACATGAAATTGATAGTTTAGGTATGGAAAAAAAAAATAATAATAATTGACAATCATTTAGGGGATAAAAGTGAAATTAACCCCATGTTTGTGGAGGACACATTACATGCTAATAATAATAAGTTGCGGCTATCAAGCATTGATCAGGTATTCTGGTTAAAGTGCGTCAAAAATATTCTACCAAGCAATGCATGGAAAGCAACAAACACATATAATAATTAAAATAATGTGAACTAAAAATGCAATACACAGAAAACCATGCACACAAACGAACTTCACAAAAAATTCTGTCCAGAAACTACCCCATAAACAACCAATTTCACTTTCTTTGGCCCCCAAAATAACTTAATTAATAAGCACTTGAGTTTATCTACCAAAAGATCACAGATATTACTCAGTAATGGCTATATCATATCAGGTCATTCTACTGACATTTGTCGTGTTTATAAATTATAACTAAATCTTTTTCAGTCATAACTAAAATAAAATAAAATAACTAGTCATAATAGCCAAACACCACCTAAGATATAATCAAAGACTTTTCCGATAATAACCAAAATAATAATCACTATAAGTCATAACCAACATTACAATGGGTCATAACTAATACAACAATAATAAGTCATAATCCATTCATAACTAACATGACAATAAGTCCTAACCCAATACCACAAACGTCATAATTGTCGCAAATGGGTCCTAAAAGGGGTTTGAATTATAGAATTTCACATATTTAAAATTATAAAAAAAAAAATAAAAAAGAAACAAACTCACCAGGATCGCATAGCTGAAAAAACTTGGCTACTTCTGCATATAACAATCAACCAAAGCAAGTAATTATTAGGCATATATATATATATGAAAATATATGTATCGATATATATATATATATACAATTAGGGAAGCGAAGAATAAGAAGTAATAGGAACCAGTGGTGAGAGCCTTGATCAAACCAGCTCTTCTGCCTATGAAATCGATGTACACCTCATCCACAGTCTTGGGTATTGGATGTGGTATTGGTTCCATTCTCTAAAATTTCAAATGAGTATTGTGTATAGTCCGGAAACAAATTTCTCAAAAAACCCTAATGCTAAACGAAATCAGAGCAGAACAATCCAATTAGGGTTTTGCAAGAACTAGGGTTTTTCCTTCATACTGCTCACATATATATATATATATACATATATAAGAAAATTGATGAGTTTTGAAGAGAGAGGGTGAGAATATAAGAAGGAATTTGAGAAGAAATTGGAGAGGAATCAGCGGGAAGGAAAAGGGTTTTAGTTAATTTTTGCTGCTTTTTGGGGTTCGCCTCTGTATATAGGATAGGATAGATAGGATAAATTACAAATACACACCAAGTTTGCTAAAAACATTACAAATACACCCCTGATTACAAAAATTCTAATCAGAAACTAACGATATGTAATTGATAGTTTAGGGTTAAATTATAAATACACCTAATTAAAATGCAAATTGCTTTCTGTGATTTTATTGTTAAAATTTTTATTTAACAGAATTAATTAAAAAATAAAATTCATAACTTCCCTCTTATACAATAATAAAATTACATAAATTACTAATTGAAATATATTTCTGATATTATTAAAAAATATTAATTAAATTGATAATTTATTAATAAAAGAGATCATTTGTTATGAAATTAGAAATCTCAATGATGGAATGTAATTTCCAGAACAATAGGGAGTGATTTGTATTTTAGGGGATGTATTTGTAATTTACTCAAATATTAATTATTTCTTATAATTTTAAAAATTACAAATACTTTCTTATTATAATTTTTTATTTAACAGGAATAACAGAATTTTTTTTAACTACTTTCTTATACAACAATAAAATTACATAAATTGTTAATTCAAATTTATTTCTGACATCATTAAAAATTGCTAATTGACTTAATAATTTTTTAATAAATTGTATCATTTGTTATGCGATTAGAAATTTAAAGAGACAAAATGTAATTTCTGGAACTTGAAAGGCATGATGTAATTTCTAGAATAAATACCCTTGAGATTTGCTTAAAATATGAATCGTCTGTTGTAGTTTTGAAAATTACATCTCACTTCTTCAAATTTTTAAGGGCAAATTACACTAACAATTCTTACACTTTAATTTTGTATCATTTTAATCCAATTGTTAACATAAGTTAAAATTGTTAACAGAAAACAAACACGTAACATGACCTTTTTCCAAGGGCAATACAAACATTTCACTACCATTTCCTTGTTTCACAACCTTCTTCCTCTTAGACTCTCTACAACACAATGATCTACCATCGTTGCCTTCCTTCACCATCATCTATAGCCAATCCCAAAATCAACACCATTTACCTCCACCACACCAAACCCAGTACTGTTTGCCACCCAAACCACCAAACTCACCACCTTATCTTTTGCACATACCTGACATGTCCATCACTTCCATCCAACCTTCTTCATCTACCTTTATCATCCCACCATCACTAAACAACAAAGTGATAATCAAAAGAATAACAGAGAGATGAAAGAACAATAACAATAACAAAGTGATGGACCACCAGTTCCTCTAAATCAAATAATAATTCAACCAAGTAAAACATCAAATCATACAAATCAAATAAAAAAACCAACCAAAGAGAAAAGAGAAAATAAGAGAAGAAAAATATTGGCAAAGAAGATTCTTTGCAATATGTTGAATAGATCGTCCTCGTTCAACTCCTAATTTTTGTTCTATCTCCTCAGTCTATCCCATTTGACTAGAGAAAGAGAGAGAGAGAGAGAGAGAAAGAAGAGGTGCATGAGGGTCGTCGTCGTTGTCGTCGCTACTGCTATTGAGGAAGGAAGTAGAGAGCTTGTTGGGGTTGGAGGAAGAAAGCTCCAGAAGCGTAGAGAAGGGAAAAAGTGGTCGTGACTACGTTGAAAGGGGGTTGCGACTAAATTTAGGCAAGAGACTAGGTGTCACCACTAATATCAGGGGAAAGAAAAGGAGGTGGCAAAAGTCTGGAGGATAGTCCACGATTGAGTTGAGAGAAGAAGAAGAGAGATCATGACTAAACTAAGGGGGGATAATAGGGTCACTGCTATTGGCAAGAGAGAGGGAATGAGAGAAAAAGTTGCTAGTGGAGGTTAGGGAAACAAGACGGCGGGAGGCTAGGGGATGGGGAGAGAGAAAGAGAGAGAGAGTGAAGTTAGGCTTAAAGAGAAAAATGATGTAGGCGACTGTCATGGATGGACTAGAAGAGAGAAATAGGTGGTGTCTGGGTTGGCATAGAATAAGGTGAGTTCTGCAGATCACAATTGTGATTGCGATGATGAAGAAGAAGATGCACAAATCTAGCAACGGAGAAACCCACACTGTGTGAGCTCTATAGATTGCGATTGCGATCATTTAACGGCGAACGAAAAAACATCGAAATCAACAATGTCAAACTGCAAAGCTCTATTTTTATTTTGATTTTCACTTTGATTTTGATTTGTGATTGGTGGTGTTATTTGGTGGTGGTTGATGGTAGTGGTGGTGTTTAGCAGTGGCAGTGGTGAAGTGAGATTGATGATAGACGGTGGAGGAAGGGGGGAAAAGGTGTTGCAGAGATGGAATAGGGAAGGTTAGGAATGAAATGTCTGTTTTGCCCCGCAAAGTTGATCACATGTTATGCACATGACTATTTTTTGTTAATTTTTTTAACAGAGGTTATTGATTGTACCAAAATGAAATGAAATTAAAAATAAAAAGTTAAAATTGAGCAAATTGAAAATACAAAGACCAAAGTGACACATGAGATTAAATACAGAGACTATTAGTGTAATTTGTCCAATTTTTAATTGCATAAAAAATTACCCATTTTATTAATAAATTATTAAAAATTTTATTTTTTTCTGTTAATTTTGTCAAATAAAAAATTCTAATAAGGGGTATTTATAATTTTTAGAATTACAGAGAACAATATATATTTTAAACAAATCTCATGGATATATTTATAATTTATTATATATATATATATATATTAATATTATGTTAACCGTTTATTTTTTAAAAAAATAGATGTGCTCTTGCTACGGAGTTATAAATGTCCAATCAATTTGATTTTTCACAAGAATGATTTACTTGATGAACTTTACAATATAAACAATTCAAATTATTGAAAAATGTTCACGACAAGCCTCCACAGGCTGTCATAGCAACTTGCTCTATTGTGACTAAGGGTGTGCGCGATGCAGTTTGGGCGGTTTGAGAGTAAATTTACAAACTGAATGGCAGGTTGGCGGATTAGCGGATTGACAAATTGCGGTTTGGGCGGTTTTTGGCGGATTGGCAGATTGAAGAATATTCTAACTAATTATCATACATTTACATAATATATAACACTAATTTGTATAACATTTTTTAGATATATAACACAGTAATTTTACATAATATGTTTCATATATATAACCACTAATTTGTAATAAATTTCATATCTTAAATCTCTCTCACACTTATTTTTACATTGATATTTCATCGGAGGTTAAAAAATATATATGTATTAACTATAGTGGAGCGGAGCGGTTCCGTTGGCAGATTATAAATTTGAAAGTTTAAACCGCGGTTAGCGGTTAAAGCGGTACGGATAGATGCGGAGCGGTGCGGATAGATGCAAATCGGTGCTGTTTTAGTGGATTTGGAGGTATTTTGCACAGCTCTAATTGTGACTTGGGTCATAGGAGGAACCCCCATCCAATATTTATAGGCTAAATTACACTACTCTCCCATGTTTTTAAAAAATAAATGCAGTAAGTCTTACAATTTTGATGTAATTATATTAAATTTTCAAGTAAGGATGGTCACATGTGGGTTTATAGTCCCCTATTCGCGCCTTGGGAAAATTGGGTTAGTAACGAAGACGGGGATGGTTAATTTTGTAACTTAAAAAATTGTAAATACTAATGAAAATTATAGATATTGTATAGTATGGATAGTAATTTATAATTAATAAAAATTAGGAGGTAAAAATGGAGACTAAATGTAATATTTTGATTTTTAATTTTATCATATTGGAAAAAAATAAATGATATTTGTATTATATACATATAAACACATTTAGTAAATACAAATGGAGTAAGGGCGAGAGAAGCAAAACTCATCCTCACCCCACTTCCTCATCGGGGCAAAGAAAATTGAAGTGCGAGAGGAGATGAGGGAGTGGAGCAAGGCAGAGGAAAATGGTCATTTGTATTTCTAAAGTTTTAATTCACATAACATTTAATTCTCTTTTTATCAATAATTCATTAGTCATATATGAATGAAAAAATTATGTTGTTATCTCTTTTACACTTAAAAAATGTATATTTGTTTTGTTTACCCTTGTATCTTCAAACTATTGGAATTAGTTTTGATCTTTTTAACCTTACTAGTAGTGCACGTGCAACGCACGTGATTTTTTCTTCTTTTTGTTTTTTATATTTGTACGGGAAAGAAATACACCTTCTCGTATAATCCTGTTGACCAAGTCCACGCTCCTCCGTACGACGTCGCTTTATCTCCTGAAAACACAAACGTGAGCTAGTCGGCGGGTGTGTGCCGGAAACCTCTCCAATGCCTAAGTCAGCAAACTTGACAAATAGACAAAGCTCCGTGTATTCAGAAAGCAAAGTTGTGTGTTACCTCCTCCAAGGTGATGTTGTAAGCTTTTATAAGTTTCGTGTGGCACAATCCTAGTAGGACTTCTACTTCTCCATGCAGAGTCCTTCTAGGATTCATACTCCTGAAAGATAATGCTTATCCTTCAACACCCCCCTCACTGCTTAAACCAAGTGAGATGGTTTTTACCATGGCCGAACTACCATATGACCAGAATAAAACTGGCTATGCTGAGCCACAGAGTAGGCCGAACTATCCTTAGTTCGGTTTTTCCCTTTACTCCTCCTTATCTCGGTTCTCTCCTGTTCAACCCATGGTGTGTTTAGACCGAGCTACCGAGTAGCAAGGTTCTAACCGATCTATCCAGAATACGTCATGACCGGACTAACTCTGAGACCGGCCTAACTCCAAGTTGCCCGGACTGAAGTAACTTAACATTTCTTCCGGGCCGGAGTAACTTTATAATTCTTGGGCCGGAGTAACTTTATAATTCTTGGGCCGGAGTAACTTTATATCATCTTGTGCTGGAGTAACTTTTCGGCCTTTTTACCCAGTCCTTCGTATGTTGGGCCATAAAGCCCATCTCACAGTTCGGCCCAATTTTCACCAAAATTACCCTCTCAATATTTATTATAAAGCATAATTAAATAGTATAAATGAGAAATAAATTTTCATT